CCCCCCCCCCCCCCCCCCTGGGAAAGTGTTTATCCTCTAGCACCAGGTCAAGGATCTGGAGCGGCATCTACCAGGCATCAGCTCAAGTTTCCAAGCCTTGGGCCAGCCCTGGTTTCTCTTAAATCCGGGAAGAGCTGAAGAGGTCATCACATTACCTACCACTTCTTAGCCAAGAGTTCTGAGTGCCTGGGAGCAGCGGCCATAGAATCTCCTTTAACCTCTCAAGGACCCAATAGGGTAGGTATTACTGCCCCTACTTCACCATGCGGAAAAGGAGGCTCGGGGAGGTTAAGTGACTTGCCCTGGGTCAAACAGCCAGGATCGCAGCCGGAGTAGGATTCCTAAGCCGGCGCTGGTCACTGCGTTGCTTGTTAGGAGCGTGGGAAGCTGGGTTCACTCCGCCCCGACGGGGCGCACACCCTCGCACTTGGCTGCGTGCGGTCTGTCAGACCCGGGTCCACTGCAGTTACCTTGGTTGAACGATCTGCGTGATCCCGCTCCCCCCCACCCCGCGCGCTCCCACTCCTGGGGTTCGAGTTCCTGCCTCCTGCCGGCCACCGTCTGCCCCACCACATAGCCGACCCGACCCTGCCCCGCTCTCACCATAGCCGCCTCCTGCTAGCCGGTTCCCGGCTCCTCTGCCAGCTCCAGCGGCCGCAGTGCCAGCGGCACGGGAGGAAGCCGAGGGGCGGGGCGGGCCGGGACCGCGGGGGCGGGGGGCGCGCCTTCCCCAGCGGTGCCCGAAGTCAGGGCAAATCGAAAGTGCCTGGTTACAGCGACAGGGTCGAAGAGGCGCCTCCTACCGGGCCACCAGCACCCCACTTCGAATGACATCCCAACCTGGTGAATTGGGGAACCATGCCTATTGGGTCTGAGGATAGATCAGGCAGATGGGGTGAGCTGGGGATGCATCAGTTCAGTTATAAAAGTATGTCTATGGGAGTGCAGTTGTCAGGTACTGTGCTAGGTGCTGGAGATGTCACCAACAAGTCAGGAAAGGTGTTTGCTATCTTAGTGAGTACATTTCACTAGAAATTAGAACCAGATCCTCCACTCTAAGGTTCTGGAACTAGGGAGAGGGAGCAGGCAACATTCTGAATACACTACATGTTGCTGAGTTGTATAAAGTGATAAATTGAGGCTGGGAATGTAGCTCAGCTGTTAGAGTGCTTGCCTAGGGCACACCAAGCTCTGAATTTGATTTCCTGTACCACATAAAGCAGGTGTGGTGACACAGGCCTGAAACCCCAGCACCGGGGAGGAAGAGGCAAAAGAATCAAAAGTTCAAGAAAGTAATTTGCTACATGGTGAGTTTGAGGCCAGCCTTTGCAGTCTTGAAAAAAAAAATGAACTGGACATGGCCTATAATCCCAAAATCTAGGAGGATGAGGCAGGAGGTTTGCCTTGGGTTTGAGGTCAGCCTGGTCTACATAGAGAGTTCCAGGCCAACTGGGGTTACAGGAAGACCTTGTCTCAAAAAACAAAACAAAATATTGCATATTACATGACTTTCACGCCTATTTGAAAAAGAAAGTAGCCTGCTCCCCCATCTCATGGGGAAGGTGCTAGGTCTGGTTTTTCTGTATTCTAGACTCTACAGAAGGAACTTTCAGTCCAGTTCTGCCTGACACCTGCTCCCCTGTCAAGGATGCTGGTGTTTGCTAGCACTGTGAAGCCTTCCTGAGCTGAAAGTACCTATCCTCTCCTTGCTGTAGCCATATCACCAAAGTCCTGTCCTCCACCTCCCAGGCCACCCTTGACATCCTAAATGAAGCCTCTCTTAACCAAGGAGTCAAGGGCTTCCCTCCCTGGGGTTGAGCCTCTGTAAAGACAGACCATATTCCATCCTGGAGTGTCTGGTTTCCAAGCTTAGACATAGCACCTAAGAGTGGGCTGAGGAAAAAGAGGATGAATAGATGTAGTCAAGCCAAACCCAACCTAGAGGAACTCTTTGGTGCTTTCCTCTGCCATCCCTGGAATGTGGGACATGGTTCCAGTATCTGACCTCTATTTAGTCTCAAATTCTGTCTCTTAACCCTGCTCTTTCCTCATATCCTCTCAACAACAGGCTGTTTCCAATTCTGGAAAGCCTGTGGAGGAAACAGGGACAGAGGTAGCCAAGAGCCCTCCCCACAAACCAAGGCAGACTGGGCCCTGGAAAGAATGGCTGCATGACTGTGGAACCTGGTAGGGAGGAGGGAGGTCAAAAGACAAAAGGCTCATTGTGCAACAAGTGGAAGAAGGGCTACAGGCCTTGTCCTGTGACATTGACTGTGACTAGCCATGAGACATGAGAGAGGTGCTCTCACCCCCTCAGGGCAGCTGAGATCCAGGGCCCTATGAAGTCCGAGAACAGGGGCAGACAAAAGACAAAGAGAACATACAGAACAACCAGAAAAGGAAAAGCAGACTAGTTCCTTTACCCTGGGGCTCTGAGTTACAACAGGACCACAGAAGAAAGATAGCAGAAGTGGAAGGAGGCCCTGAACTAGATCCTGAATGATCTGTCCATGTCTTTGTAAACCCTTTCAGAATAGTAAAGGGACATGACAGGACCCAATGATACTAACTCTTGCATTCTACCCTAAAATGCTGTGGAGGTTTGGGGGCTGGAGAGATGGCTCAGTGGTTGAGAGCACTGACTGCTCTTGCAGAGGATCCGGGTTTGATTCCAGCACCCACATGGCAGCTACAGACTGTCCTTAACTCCAGTTCCAGGGGAATCTGACGCCTTCTTCTGACCTCCGTAGCATTGTATGACAGGGGTGCACTCACATACATGCAGGCAATACACTCATACACATAAAATAAAAATACTAAAAAATAAAAACATTTTTAAAAAATGCTGTGGAGGTTTTAATTTTCCTTGTGCAAGAATTTCCCTAGAAAATTCTTGTGATCTGTGACAATGAATGGACAGAATGGCAAAAAGAAAGATAGGGATGACTGGGCATGGCAGAACTCATCTTTAATCCCAGCACTTGGAAGGCAGAGACAGGCAAATGTCTGTAAGTTCTAGGCCAGCCAGGGCTATACAGTAAGCCCCTGACTCAGAAACCAAACAAAAAGAAAGGAAGGAAGGAAAGAAGGAAGGAGGGAAGGAAGGAAGGAGGGAGGGAGGGAGGGAAGGAGGGAAGGAAGGAAGGAAGGAAGGAAGGAAGGAAGGAAGGAAGGAAGGAAGGAAGGAAGGGAGAGGAAGAGAAAGAAAAGACTGACAGGGGAGGGGGCTGCAGAGATGGCACAGCAGTTAAGAGCACTGGCTGTTCTTGCAGAGGACCAGGGTTCAGTTCCCAGAACCCATATAGTAGCTAGTAACTCTAGTTCCAGGGGATTTGACATCCTCTTCTGACCTCCTCAGGCATGGCACAACACAGGTGCACTTATAAACATGTAGGCAATACACTCATAAATACAAAATAAAAATAGTAAAATAAATTTTAAAAAAAGACAGGGAGTGCTGGAGAGATGGCCTAGTCAGTAAAATGTTTGCCATGCAAGCATGAGGACCTGATTTAGGATCCCTAGCACCCACATAAAAGCTTCATATACCTGTATGTAACCCCAGCACTGGGAAGATGGAGACACATGTATCTCTGGCCAGTCAACCTAGCTAAATTCTGAATTGATGAGCTCCAGGTTTAGTGAGAAACCATTTCAAAAAGTAAGGTGAGGGCTGAGGCTATAACTTGCAGCAGTGTTTTTCTCACAAGCATGATACCCAAGGTTCAATTCCTGGTACTGCCAGGCCATGAAGAAATAAAAGTCCACCAGGAAGGTGGAGAGCAGTGGGGGGTCATCCAACATTGACCTCTGCCACCACACACGTGCACAGGCGTATGGGCACAAACCTACATATACACACATACGTAGTTATAAAAAGAAAATAAGAGGACTGGAGAGATGGCTCAGCGGTTAAGAACACTGGTTGTTCTTGCAGAAGACCCAGGTTCGAATCCCAGCACCCACATGGCAACTAACAACTGTCTGTAACTCCAGTCCCAGGAGATCCGACAGCCTCTTCTGACCAATGTGGGCATTGCAGAACATGGGTGCACTTACCTACATGTAGGCAATACATGCATACACATAAAACAAAAATAATAAAATATTTTTAAAAAAAGAAAAGAAGGAAGAAAGGACAGCCTGAACAGATGATTCATCCATCACGAACTGCTCTTGCAAAGGACCCAAGTTAGGTTCCCAGCACCTGTGTCAGGCATCTCACAATCACTTGTAACTCCAGCTCCAAAGGACCTGACACCATCTTATAACATCCTCAGGCATCTGCACTCATGTGCACATAACCCCACAGAGGCACTCATGCATACACATAGTTTTAATTTTTTATGTGTTTGAGTGTTTTACCTGCATGTATGTAAGGGTACCATGTGTATACAAGGCCAGAATAAGGCATCAGATCCCCTGGAGCTGGAGCTACAGACGGTAGTTAGCTACTATGTGGGTATTGGGAACTGAACCCCAGTCCTTTCCAAAGTTGCTCTTAACCTTTGAGCCTCCAGCATACACATAATTTTAAAAAAATAAAATTAATTCTTTTTAAAAAGATAAAAGAAGTGGGCCTGGTGGCACACATTTAGTCCCAGCACTTAGAAGGCCGATCTCTTGTGAGTTCAAGTCGAGCCTGGTCTACAAAGTGAGTTCCAGGCCACCTGGGGCTACAGGGAGATCCTGTCTCAAAACAAAAAACAAACAAACAAAAAAATAGACAAAAAGAGTCCACACAGACTTACTTATTCTAGCTGGGTGTGGTGGCTCACACCTACAATCCCAGCATGAAAAGGAGTCTCTGAGCCTCTGTCTTGCTCTCTCTCTCTCTAAACCTGTGCTCTCCACCCTTGTAACATTTTGGTCCTGGAATGGGAGACCCCAGACCAGAGTGTATCCTCAGGAAGAAAGAAAAGGAAGGACAAAGGGGGAAAGACACACAGAGAGAGGGCCTCACACACAAAGGGATACTGAAGGGTCTTTATTGCCCACTAGCCAGTTTCCCAGTCACAAGCAAGGTCCTCTGAGTCTCTCTAACCCGCTCAAAGGACCAATGAGATGCTGCCATAGTCCAGCTCTTTCCTTTTGGGGAGAATCAAGGTGTTCCTGGGGCATATGATATGGCAGGGGGCCCTCATGGGAACCGAGCAGCATTCCTGTGGAAGACAAGAGAGGACCCCTCTTGGCACCCATTAGAGGGTCACCCCTGAAGAGGAGGGTGGAGTGGGAGGAGTTCCTAAGTGGGGATGACACCAGTGGCCAAGAGCACGATGAGGAGGATGATGATAAAAACGATCACACAGATGAGGACAATCATCTTCACATTCTTCCACCAGAACTTCCGGGCAACCTTCTGCGATGTCGTCTTAAAGTGTTCAGACTGTTGGGGACAAAATAAAGTGAATGACTCAGTGGCTCCTTCCTCTGGAACAAGAGTACAAATTGAGGCCCACATGTCATACATGTAGCTATTTACATTATAAATTGAAGTAACATAACTGAAATAAAAATGATCAAGCCGGAACATAGCTCAACATCAGTGCTTCAATTCTTGCTACCACAAAACAAATAAAAGTACAATTCTTGGTATGATGGGAATGGGAAGGTTTTTTCAGAAAAGGTTTTTATTACCTTATTTGTTTGTTTTTGATTATGTGTGGGGGCACACACGTGCCACAGCTCATGTATGGAAGTCAGAGGACAGGAGTCAGTTCTCTCCTTCTACCACATGGGTTTTAGGGATCTAATTTGGTCATCAGGCTTGGTGGCAAGAGGCCATACATGCTGATGTGTTTGATGTATTGATGTGTTTGTTTCGTTTTTTAGAAGATTCTCTATCTTCCTACCTTCATAATATTCCTTCATAACAATCCATAGGCCAAGTTAAAAAATTTATTTTATTTTTTTTGGTCTTTTTGAGATTAGGGTCTCCCTGTAGCCCCCGCTGACCTGGAACTCACTAGGTAGACCAGGCTGGCCTCTGAACTCACAGAGATCTGCCCGCCTCTGCTTCCTGAGTGCTGGGATTAAAGGTGGGTGCACCACACCCGGCCAAATTTAGCATTCTTGAGCTCATCACCTGAATGTGGCAGGGGGCCTGGAGGAGTCCTTTTCTTTTTCCCAGACAGTACCTCGTGTAACCAAAAATGAACTTGAACTTCTTTTTTTTTTAAATAAAAAATAGTTTATTTATTTTATGTGTGAGTGTATTGCCTGCATGTATGTGAGTGCACCCATGTCATACAAGCCATGGAAGTGAGAAGAGGGTGTCGGATTCCCCTGGAACTGGAGTTAAGGACGGTTCGTAGCCGCCATGTGGGTGCTGGGAATCGAACGTGGGTCCTCTGCAAGAGCAGTTGGTACTCTTAACTGCTGAGCCATCTCTCCAGCCCTGAACTTGAACTTCTTTAAAAAATTACATTTATTGCCAGGCATGGTGGCCCAAGCCTTTAATCCCAGCACTTGGGAGGCAGAGACATGTGGATCTCTGTGACAGGTAAGCTCTCTGGTCTACATAGTAAGTTCCAGGCCAGCTGGGGCTATTGGGGAAACCCTGTCTCCCTATCTCAAAAAGATCCGCCCCCTTAAAAATTACATTTATTTATACAATGTGGTGGTCAGAAGAAAACTTGCAGGAATCAGTTCTCTCTTTTCACTATATTTGTCCCAGGGATGGAACTCAGGTCATCAGGCTTAGGCAAGTGCCTTTATCCCCTGAGCCACTTTCCTGGCCTGGATTTGAATTTCTGATCCTCTTGCCTCTACCTCCCAAGTTCTGGGATCACAAGCATGTGCCACCATATCCACTTTATACAGGACTGAACCCAGGGCTTCGTGCATGCTAGGCAAGCACTCTACCAACTGACTCACATCACCAGCCCCCCTTCCTTTTCAATTACACCTGCATTGTCTTACACACCGAAGGGTGTTTTACACCTGCTTACCCCCAGGTTTGCCGAGTTGGCAGCACAATCTGCCCTTGGGAGGGCACACCCTGGGACTGAGGGGTTACAGGTTCCAGGTGTGCACATCTCTCAGTTCTATGACACTTTGTCCTCTAGGGACTGTGGAAGCTGGAAGAAGAACCATTACCGCACAGAAGGTTAGAAGAGTAGAGAATCTCCTCTTGCTCCCCCAACTCAAGTTGCAGACACTAACTGTTCAAGTTTGGTTTCTGTTGCTATGATGAAACACTAACCAAAACCAACTTGGAGTAGGAAAGGGTTTATTACATTTTACAACTCCTAGGTCACAATCCAACTCTGAGGGGAAGCTAGGGCAGGAACTCAAGGTAGAAATCTGGAGGCAGAAGCTGAAGCAGAGAATACAGAGGAATGCTGTTTACTGGCTTGCTTAACTACCTTTCTTATACAGCCCAGGCCCACCTGCCTAGGAATGGTATCACCCTACCGTGGGCTGGGCCCTCCCACATCAAATAGCAATTAGGAAAATGCCCCAGAGATGTGCCTATCTGGGAAATTCTTCAGATGAGTTTCCTTCTTCCTAGGTGACTCCAGCACACTGTCTCCCTGGGCTATGTACCCAGCTTAAGCTGTGGAAAGAGGCACTAAGTTTCAAGATTATACATGGGACTCAGAGAGCCAGAGCTCTCCACTGGACTCAAACCTGAGGCTGCAGCCTTGACTTCCTCCCTCCCTGAGAAGTTGGCCTCAGCCTATGGCTGCAGAAAGAGGAGAAGGGAGCCGGGTGTGGTGGCGCATGCACACCTGTAATTCCAGCACTTGGGAGGCAGAGGCAGGCGAATCTCTGAGTTCGAGGCCACCCTGGTCTCTGTGAGTTCCAGGCCAGCTGGGGCTACAGGGAAACCCTGTCTCAAAAAACAAAACAAAACAGAAGAAAGAAAGGAGAAGGTCTAGTAAGATGTATGGGAGATATTATTCTAGCTTTTGGCTGGCAGAAGGACCCTGGGATCAAAGAATTTCATTGCTCTTCCCAGTTGTTTTTATTTATTGTTATTTTATTTTACTTTTTTGAGACAGGGTCTCCCTGTAGCCCCAACTGTCCTGGAACTCACTATGTAGACCAGGCTGGCCTTGAACTCTCAGAGATCTGCCTGCCTCTGCCTTCCGAGTGCTGGGATTAAAGGTGTGCGCAACCTCACCTGGCCCCCAAGTTGTTTTTAAAGCTGGCTCAGCAACGCTTTAATTTTTTTTTTTTCCACCCCCAGTCTAATAACTCCAGGAAAAGGCCAAAGCCCCAAGGAAGATTTTCCCAGAGCTCATATTTTTGCCTTGAAAAGGTCAAGCCTAAATGATTGTCAGGGGCAGGCTTCAAAAGGAAATCCGTTTCATACCAAAAAAGGCCTAAGAATGCAGGAATGGACTGAACTGTCTGTCTCAGAAATTCCTCTGTGGGTGCAGCCCCCACACACCCAAGCCTCACCACTAGACCCACTCTCTGGGCTCTACCAACCAATACAGTATCAAGGAACTGGAAGTGGGGACTCAGTAATTCCCAGAATAGGCAAAAAGGTAGCTAGAAAAGGTAGCCTGCCACGCCTTGTGTTCATTTTGTCCCTGCCCGGCAAAAACTTCTCTTCCCCCATAACAGCTCTCCCTGCGCTCTTCTTCCAGCCCAGGAGGCGCCCCCATTTCACCGTGGCTTCCAGGTCCTCTGTCTTGTTGCGTAAATGATCCAAGTTCTCTCCACGGGCCAGGATCCGCTCCACATTCTGGGTCATAATATTCTTGACTCCTTCCACCTCACTCTGCAGGTTTCGCACTCTGTCATTTCCTCCGCTGGCCTCCTCCTGGTCAACAACACGGGTTAATTAGGCCAAGCAATAGAGGATCCAAGAGGCCAGAGGAAGTTGGAAGGTCTGAAGTGGATTTTAGCTGTTCTTAATGCTTTGTTTACAATGAGAATATTTTATGTATTCTTCTTACAATCGAGCCTGAAGATATTTATGTGTGGATATGTGTTCATATTGGTGCATGTGCATGTGTATATGGACACAAGTGGAAGCCAAAAGTCAGTCTCGGGTCGTCAGGGTGGTGCTCCTCAGGAATCAGCTACCTTGTTTTTTTGGTTTTTTTTTTTTGAGACTGGGTTTCCCATTGACCTGGGGCTCAAAGATTAGTCTAAACTGGCTGACCAGCAAGCCCCAGAGATCAGCCTATCCCTTACTCATGATGGGATTACAAGCACCACTACACCTTTTCCTTTTTTCAAACGTGGATTCCCACGCTTATATGGTAAGCAGTTTTCTGGTTGACCTATCTCTCCAGCTCTGTTTGTTTATTTATTTATATTTAAAGATAGAGTCTCAGGTAGCCCAGGCTGGCCTCAAACTTGCTAAGTAGGATGATCTTGAACATCTGATCCTCCTGCCTCAACCTCCCAGTGTTTCACTTATGGGAGGCAAACTCTCCACCAACTAAGCTACATCCCCAGTCACATATAAAAACATTAAAACCTTGAACTTATTATGGGGGGGGGTACATATGCACAGGTGGCGGTCAGAGGACAACTTTCAGGAGTTGATTCTCTCCCATGTTGGGATAGGTGTTGTGGGATATCTAATTAGGCCACCAAGCTTCCATGGCAAGCCCTTTTCCTTACTGAGCCATCTCATAGGCCACATAAATGCATTTTAAGTTCCAGAAGATGAAATGTGATTTTGAACTGTCATCAGCCTTCCAGGACCCTGATAAGGAGAAGCAACAGTCAGCTATTGGTTTCTGTGCCCCACAAAGTCGGTTATGAGCAGATAGCTGGCATCTCACAATATCCCCCTGGGGTGCACAGCCAAGTGCTATCTACCCTCCTCCCACTTACCCTCTTCCTTGATCCCACCAGGTTCTCTGGAAAAGTGTGGTTGCTAGCTAGCAGAGCACCCTTGCCTGGCCAACCCAACTGCCTCTCCCAGACAGCTGGTTGAGCTTCTGTGGTCCCCAAGCCTGCTGGGTAGTGTAACCTCAGTTCAGTGGTGGTGACCCAAAGCAACGAACAACCAAGGCCCCCAGAAGGCACCATGGGCCGTTGGACCACACACTTCTGCTTTCTTCATTATTTAGCTCCAGGTGCTGACCCCACACCACTGGCTGGTTATATAGATATTTATTTAAAAAAAAACACCCACCCACCCATCAAGGCGCTGGGGGAAACTAAGTACAAGTACTCCTATTCAGGAGGCCTCTTGATAAGGCTTTTGAACAAGGGTTCCTCCCTTGGTGACCCAGGGGGCCTCCAGGTACCAGCCATGGGTGTGGGCTGAAATTAGATTATCACGGAGAACCAACGTCTAGCTCCTTGGCTCTCTTCCTCCTGTTTCTAGAGAAGGGACTTCTTGCTGGGACTCTGTGGACAGGCAGATCCTTTGGGTATCAGCACAGACAGAGGGCAAAGCGAAGGGGAGAACTCCAGTCCTCAGGCTGGGATCTGAGACCGGAGCTGTGGCCCTGCTCCCGGCCGGGTAATGTCACAACAGCCGGCTCCGGCCCAGCTGGAGGAGGCAGTGGAGGGGGAGGGCGCGGCGCGGCAGCTTGGCCAGGAATTCGGGTCCCCAGCCCCCACCGAAACCCTGGTCCGATCCAGCACCGAGGTCAAGGGAGGAAGGCAGTGGAGAAGAGTCAGGAACCTCCGCCCAGGAGGCCCAGAGCTATTTGTGGACAAGTTGATAAAGTAGAGAGGTCACAGGCAGCGCTGCCCCGGCGCAGCCCGCCCTCTGACTTTGCCACCAACTTACCTCTGTCCACACAGCCACCCAGGCCCGATCCCTTTCCTAGTTTCCTCGTCCTTTCCTAGTTCCCAGGTCACTCACCATGTTTCGGAGCACTTAGGCCTCTCCACAGCAGAACTCGCTCAGGCTGTTTCCTCCCTGGGCAGCCACAGCTTCACTTCCTGCTTACTCCAACTTTCAGCCCGCCTCCAGCCCATCCCGCACCTCCAGCGGCTCCAGCTCCAGCCACACCTAACTGCAGGTTTCCCCAGGTAGGCGGGCGCCCTCCACTTCCCTCCCCATCTCCTCCCAAACAACAGCTTAAGCTTAAAGCAGCAGGGCACCTGGGGGCGGGGGTGGGGGGCGGTAGAACCCCAAAGGTCTTCTAAATTATCAAGAAGGAGAAAAGAAAGATCAACCAACACTTCTGGGTTTCCAGAAACCTGTGACATCTCCTTTTTATGCCTCAAACTAGTTATTCTAGTTTGTAGGGACTTAAATCACCCACATGCATACACCTTGTCAGGCTTGGTTCAGATAGAAACACAATATACTTGTGAAAATTTCTTGCTGGACAACCCTTGTCCCCAGGAATACCCTAGGTGAGAAAAAAACACTAAAATCCTCTGGAAATGGGGCTAAAGAGATGGTTTGGTGGTTAAGTACACTTGCTGCTCTTGCAGAGGACTGGAGTTCCATTCCCAGCACACAGTTCAGGCTACTCACATCTGTCTCTAATTGTAGGTGCAGGGGACCTGACACCCTCTTCTGGCCTCCAATAGTATCTTGGTACACACACACACACACACACACACACACATAAATACATGTAAAATTTTTAGGGGCTAGAGAGATGGCTCAGCAGTTAAGAGCCCTGACTGCTCTTGCAGAGGACCTGGGTTCGATTCCCAGCACCCACATGGCGGCTACAAACCATCCTTAACTCCAGTTCCAGGGGAATCCAAAGCCCTCTTCTGACCTCCACAGCATTGCAGGACACGGGTGCACTCACATACATTCAGGCAATACACGCATACACATAAAAATAATAAATAAAAAAATTTGGGGGCATCTTTTTGAGACAGGGTCTCCCTGTAGCCCCAGCTGTCCTGGAACTCACTAAGTAGACCAGGCTGGCCTTGAACTCACAGAGATCCGCATGCCTCTGCCTCCCAAGTGCTGGGATTAAAGGCGTGCACCACCACGTCCGGCACAATAAAATATTTTTAAAAAAATTTAAAACTAAAAGTCTTTAAAATTATTAGAAAGTTCCAAGTTATTAGCTGGGTGGCCCTGAGGGAACCCATCCTTCTCTCTGGGTTTTACTAGTGCCACTGCTGACCAAACAACATAGGAAGGCACCTGGCACAGTGTCTGCAATGAAGACAATCAGGAAATGATGGCTCACCCACCCCTCCTTTCCTTCTAGAGCTAGGCGGCCCTACATTTCCCTTCAAGGATCATCATGGGGGGTGGTGAGCCTGGTCAGTGGTCAGAGGACTGTCCCGTGGATTAGAAAGGGGCCCAGGGTAAAGGATTTTTCCATTACACGTGGCTCTGGGCCAGAGAAAATCTACTCTTCTCCGGATGGTGTTTATCAACACAGAAGAACAATAACAGACACACAGAAGGGAACAGACATTCTTTCCCATCCTAAAAGAAATAACAGCTCTAAGAAGGAAATGTCAACTCCTTCAGCAAATGCCTTCTAAAGGATACATTTAGAACCTCTGTGTCAGTTTGAGACACTTTCCGTTTTTCCGTGTGTATACGTGTGTATGTGCATTCAGGACTGTACTCAGGGACTCATGAATGAACTACATCCACACACACTATACATCTAGATTTACTGAAAATAACAACACCTTTCCTTTCCAATGAAACAAAAGAAAAATTTAGACTAAACAGGAATGAAATTACAATACAGAGGGTCAGTTCAACAACTGATCTTTTTTAAGATTAGTCAAGATGTGATAAGACTGTCATGTCAGTTCTAAATAAGATCTCTGGGTTTGGCTGATTCTCTCACCAAGTGGCAGAGCTCAAGTGGTCATGAAGAAAGAATTGTATTTTTTTTTTTCTTTTTGAAACAGGGTCTCCCTGTAACCCCAGCAACCTGGAACTCACTGTGTAGACCAGGCTGGCCTTAAACTTACAGAGATCCACCTGCCTCAGCCTCCCGAGTGCTGGGATTAAAGGCATGCACCACCACACCCGGCAGAATTGTGTTTTTAAAGTGTCATCTTAAACTGCAAGGAAGTCTACAAAACTTAATGAATATTCCAAAGGAGAAGCCATGTTGTCAAAATGTCCATTTAACACAACCAAACACTGAGATTTTTTTCTTCCTTCTCCTTCTCCTCCTCCTCTTCTTCCTCTTCCTCTTTCTCCTCCTTTTCCTTCTCTTCCTTCTTCTTCATCTGTGGGGATGGCTTTGTTCTCTAAGGGACTTTTTATTGTTTTAAAAAAATATTCTCTGTGAGTTCAAGGCCAGTCTGGTCTACATAGTGAGTTCCAGGACAGCTGGAACTACAGGGAGACCCTGTCTCAAAAAGACCAAAAATAAATAAATAAATAAATAAATAAATAAAAATGTAAAAAAATTCTATTTATTTATTTTGAGATAGGGTCTCACTGTGTAGTCCTGACTGACCTGGACCTGTGGACTAGGCTAACCTTGAACTCACAGAGATCTGCTTGTCTATGCCTCCTCTGAGTGAGTTCTATATAGTGAGTTCCAGGCTAACCCAGGCTACAAGAGTGAGAGTTTGCCTCAAAAACAAGCAAACAAACAAACTTTATTCAGCCCAGAGGCTTGCCTCAGGGACCCTCAAGAGCATGGTTCCCTCTGAGGAAGATAGGCCATGTGTTCTCCTGACAGAGGTGAAGGCCATCCCTTACAGGGTTACAGAAAGCTTCTTGTTCAGGAGAAACATGTGATGGCTCTATGACACTTTAAGCCATTTGAGTACTTTATAAGCACATTCAAAGTATGTTTGTTTTGTAGGATAACCTAGTTTCTTGTTCAACGTTTAAAATAAAACTTTTGAAAATAACAAACAAAACAAAAACAAGGAGGCTGGTGCTGGGCATGGTGACCATGGTTGTAATCCTAGGATTTGGGAGGTTGTTACAGGAGGTTCACAAGTTCCAGGCCATTCTGGGCTACAGTGTGAGACCCTGTCTCAAAACAAGTAAACAACAAACAATAAAATAAAGCAAAGATAAACAAAGGCTGGGAGGTAGTTCAGTGACAATGTTCATCTAGCCTGGGCAAGGTTCTGGGTTTGACTCCCAATACCATACACAATGGGTCATCACCCCATCTTGATTCATTCTTGGTCATTCTCTAATAGCCACTGTCTCCTTTTCACCAATGCCAGCTTCCCTCTTAATGCCAACACGATCTCTTCTCTGGTTAATTCCAGTCTGTACTAATTCTAATTCTGAACTGACTTTCTTGGTCCCATTGATTCCTTTAGACACTGCTAGTTGTCATCTCCAAATAGATTTCAGTATGCTCACTTTGCCTCCAGGCGAAGGACAAACTTCTTATCCAAGCATTCCAGGTGTGCACTTGCTTTTCTAAGCCTATCTCTCACCAGACCACCCTTCTAGCCCTCCTCTGAATCACATGCCCTTCCCCACCTATTTTTGCTGAAAGGCTGAATTCATCAGAACATATAAATTCTTCTCATATTTAAGATGTAGCATCTTGATTTCCCCAGAAAGTTAGTTAACTTCTTCCTCATCTGATTCATCAAATTCCTCTATTAAAGAATTGTTCATATGCATACACGTTCACTGTTTACACACTCTGCCTCTCCAAGACTCTTCAATTTTTGATTTGCTGTTGTTGTTTGAGACAGTGTCTTGCTATGTAACCCTGACTAGCTTGTACTCAGTATCCCAGGCTGGCCTTGAACTTGTGATAGTCCCTTGCCGCAACCTCCCCAGTCCTGGGATTACAGCCATCAGACACCGTACCAGGCTTAGACTCTTAAATTCTGTAATCGTGATGTTTTTTTAAAAAATTGACAGCTGGAGCCAGATGTAGTGGCCCACACTTTTTAATCCCAGCACTCAGGAGGCAGAGGCAGGCAGTTCTGTGTGCATTCAAGGCCAGCCTGGTCTACATAGTGAGTTCCAGGCCAGCTTGGGCTACAGGGAGACCCTGTCTCAAAAAAACCCCCCCCCCCCCAAAAAAAAAGTTGACAGCTGGGTGTAATAGTGTATGCCTTTAATCCTAGCACTTGGGAGGCAGAGGCAGGGAGAGCTCTGTGAGATGGAAGTCAGCCTGGTTTACATAAAGAGTTCCAGGCCAGCTGGGGCTACAGGAATGAATGAATGAATAAATAAATAAATAAATAAATAAAAAATAAGCAAAAAGTTGACACAGAAGTCAAAGAAAATAGCATTTAACTGGCAAGCAGTTTGGGCATGCTGCATCAGAGCACTCCTGAATAGTATGTTAGGTAAAAGCAGGAGGTTTTTTTGTTTGTTTGTTTGTTTTGGTTTGGTTTTGTTGTTGTTAATTGGAGATTTTCCAAATAGTTTTTGGAGGCAGGTCATTGACTGAACAGAAATCTTATACTGCAAACCCTCCTGTTAGTTATTAAGAGTACTCACGAAGAAAAGTTGAAGGCCAGCGGATACTGACTTCAATTGTTTATCCAGGCCTATTGGAACATTCTGTACTTTAACCTTTAGCAGGCACGAGTGCAGTCCTCTTGCAATCCCCTAATTCCACTTTAGAAAGTCTTACTTAATTGCTAGCGGTGGGTGGTAGTATGGTGTCTATAACCCCAGCTACCTGGGCAGCTGAAGCCTGTCTAGGCAACATAGACGACCACATATCCAAAAAAAAAAAAAAATCTTGCCAAGGGAATGATGGTACATACCTGTAGTCCTAGTACTCAGGGGTTGTGGGAAGAAAAGGATTAGCTTTAATGACTCCCTTTCCTTTACAGCAGGCATGGGATGTGTCACCTTGTGTTATATTACATAAGCCTTATACACAGAAGGCAACTCACTGAATGTTTTGGATATTAAAGTGATTTCTTTATCCATGGTGCCCATTTTTTTTTTTTTTTTTTTTTTTGAGACAGGGTCTTGCTATGTAGCCCTGACTGACCTGGAACTTGCTATGTAGATCAGGCTGGCTTCGAACTCACAGAACTCCACCTACCTCCTGAGTGCCTCCTGAGTGTTGGGATTAAAGGCATGAGTAGCTCAGAAAGACATTTTTGAATTTTTA